ATCACACACCACCCACCCATCACCACCCTCCCCCCTATTCACTCCTATCCAATTCCCAGTTTCTAACTTCTCGAATTATTTAAAGATTTTATATACATATACAAGTAATTATATATTATTTATATTATATATATAATATTTTTATTTAATTATAAATAAATGTATAAATTTGATATATATGATATTTCTTATAATGAATATTTTATATGACCCTTGACACTATCCAAGAAAGAGGGAGAGAGAGAGAGAGAGTGAGAGAGAGATAGAAAAGGAGTTTGACCTATCGAAAGTTTATGCTCCGATTCGCATAACACTCAATACTACGAGTCGATAACATCCACCCCGAGAATTCACACTCTGCCGATCTAATTAACTATGCTTCTTCTCTCACGTCTATTACTACTCCCTTGTATCAACAAACTCGGGTCATTGTGCCGATATTATTAGAAACACTGACATGAGAAACGGAACGAAAGAATAAAAAAGAATTGAAAAAGAGAGAGAAAGAATGAGAAAGTAATTGAATCAAAATAGAAAAAGTACAAGAGAAAGGGAAACTATAATGTGTACAGCAAAATAATCTAATAAAAGAAAAAAAGAAAATAATACCAATTAATCCTAATTAAAGTTGTATAAACATCAAAAATAATTCTATATAACTTTTATTAACTTCTTTTTAATTTAAATATTATTCTATGTATGTTATAATTTAAATGTATGCAGTATGTTATAAATATTTAAATAAAAAAAAAAAGAAACAATATTAAAATAATTTTTAAATATATTATTATTCTATTTTTAAGAGATGATTTTATAATATGCACATTTTAGATTATGCACCAACGAGATGCATCTCGTTTAAAATTCGATTTATCTACGCTTAACTATGCTCGTAGATCGATACTATCGTTTCAAACGAGCCTACCTATGACTACTGCTAACTTCTAAGGATGTGGGCGTGTGGAAATAAATGCAAAGAAAGAAATAGAGAAAAAGAGAAAGAAAGAGAGAGACTATACTCGTTTTGTGTAGGCATTTCTCGTTCCTGGGAGCACAGACCTCTTCTACCGGTCATTATCACCCTCCTTCTTTCAACTCCCACTATTTATCCATTTATTTCATTTCTCCATCCTTTTTTTTTTGTTTTTTCACTTGAATTTTACTTTCTACATACGATAATCAATCGTAGAATGAATTATGAAATTACGTTAACGTGATAACGAGCTTAGACATGTTTGTTCGATTCTATTTATGGAATTATACGTATTGTATTCTTTGCAATCAATTGTAATTATCATTTAATTAAAAAAAATAATAATAATAAAGATTACAAAAATAAAAAAATAAAATATTATAATTAAAAAATTCAGTAAGTAATATTACTATTTTAATATTAACTATGCTAATTTTAATGATTTTAACTAACATCTACATCAAATATTTCATATTTTAATTATATAATTTTTATGTGAACAAAAAATTCCTAGATAATTTAAAAATACTTAATTGTAAGTGAGTCTTGAAATTTGAAAATTGAGTCACAAAAATATCTATAATCTAATTTTTACTTTTTTTTTAGATTTTTATTTAATAAATCAGATTTGTAGTAAAAATTGTATTGATATTATATTTATTCGAGCTCGTAAACATTCGTTTTTCTCCGAAGTTTATAGTATGAAACTGAGAAAGGAATGTATGTAGCCCCAAGGAATAAAAATGATGAAAGAATTCATACTTTGAAAAGTACCGATATAATCAAATTTTACGTATATCTCGGAAACGACTATAATTTTGCAATTAAGTGACAATCATATGAACGATATCGTCAGATGCTTGCTTGACGTGAAAAACTTACATATATATATATATATATATATATATATATATANTATATATATATATATATATATATATATATATATATATATATATATGTGTGTGTGTGTGTATATAAATACACATACAAATATACAGTTGCGTGCATTACGTAAAGCCATAAACTCTTCCCAACGGTCATCGTACGGCTCAGTATACCGTTTCTCTTTCTTTTTTTCTTTCTTATTTATTTTCTACCTTTTTCTAAGCTGATTAACAAACCTACAGAGTTGAAACCCGCAAAAATTTATCTCGAAATAACTTCAATTAAAATCACGCGACTATTTATTTTATCTTTCACGTTTTTTTAACACTAGATATACCAGACCAGTCATTTTGACTGGTGTCGGGCCATTTTAATTCAAAATGTCTACTTCATGTAATATTTGATTTCTGTAAATAATAAAGCGTTTTGTTATTTAAAAATGTCTATAAATCCATTTATCTATTAAAATTATTATTGTTAAACACTTTTTGTTATTTTTAAGAGTAAATAAAGACTGCCACAAAAAGCATTTTTTGTATACACCAATCATTTTGACTAGTGTGGTAGAAATAGGTATACTGAAAATGGCGGTATATCTAGTGTTAATCTAATTAAAATACTGTTGCTAAAATTTCTCAAAATCAAGTCAAAAAAATAACTTCGATTATTATCAAAAAAAAAAAAAAAACATACATATAATAAATAATTAAATTATAACATTAGCAAAGTAATAATAAAAATAAAGAAATTCTTTTAATGATTAGTGTGATAAAATTTTATTGATGGGATTAAAAGGTACGATTCAAATGTAATTTGAATGCATCTCATTCAAAGATAAACCAAGCGAATTCTCCTTTGAAAGATCGCGAAATTGACATACATTAAAGGATTCTAAGGTAACTCGAGTGTGAAACATCCCATTCTAGACGAGTACCGACCTTTTCGAGCGTGACCAGAAACGATCGTCGTCGGATTGTTTCATTCAAACCTGTTAGCAAATTGTAAGTACAACGAACAATCAAACTTTCTCGTATCGATAATCACGAGAAAGTTTTTCATACTTTATTATATTATCTACATCAATGAATTATTATCAAAAAAATTGATCATTATAATAATTAAAAGACGATTTTATATTATCTATTAGGCCTCATTTACCATTAAAAAAAAACACCAGACACAAAACGAGATCTTGTAAAAATAAATTGTAAATTAAAAAAAAAAAAATAAAATAAAATAAAGCATGATGAATTTAATTCATTAGATGTATTTCAATCTAATGTTATAATTTATAATTTATTAAAATGTTTATATATACTATTATTATTAATTTAAAAAAAAAATAGTATAAAATTTAAAAAATCATGAATTTAATTTATTCATTAAAGGGCTCATAATTGTGTTGCTTTTAAGTTGATAATTTTCAAATGATAAATATGGCCTCTAAATTAAATGAAAAATACAAAAGAAGAATTTTGTTTAATTTTTTTTTTTTTTTTTTCCCTATACAATCTAAGGCGGCATTTGATATGATAATGTATGGTTATAAGAAAAATACCCTGATTAAATCTATCGTTAGAAAATAACATCGATAGTAGAGTCAAGAGCAACTCGATAGGAACGCAAACGGTAGTCTAGCATGCCAAAGTGATCGCGTGCGTGGGCGTGACTCATATACAAATATACTTGCAGTCTCTTCTTGCGTTCCCAAAGGAATTCTCGATATATTCGACCAATTTTTAAGGGTTGAGACTAACATCGATATAATGAAATAAACAATAATTATTAAGACAATGAACATAAAATAAAATAAAATGAAACAAAAAATATCAATGAAATTATAAACAAATTTTCTAAGAAGCATTAAATTAAAAAAAGTAATAATAAGAATTTTTCTTAAGAAATCTGTTCAAATAAAAAGTAAAATAATTATGATTAATTACTGAACGTTTTGTATAATACATATAAGAGGACTCGCACACGTGTTACGTTCTTCTGTAAAACTATAATACATCTCGCGTATAATAGCACGTGTTCTCAACGAAACACAAACAGGCTCGTGTGTTTGACTCTTTCCAGAGAGACCTACTCACGCTTTCCGGTATTTATTTCTAACGTATACATATATCATATACTAATATGCTGTTCGTTGGTGATCTTACATTCCGATCATTGTAAAATATATTCCGCTAAATAGATTCGAATAAACAGGGATAAATATAAGAATATTTAAATATATGAATCATTAAATCAACATAATTATTTATTATATTTTTACAAATATTTTTTCAAACAATTTTTCTATTTAATTCTAATCATTATTTTTATTTATTTATATTTTTCTTTATTTAATTTATTTTTATTAATTTTATTAATAACGTTACAAATAAACAGTTCATATATATGAAGCAAAAAATGTTGTCTTTTTCTTTCTCTCTCTCTCTTTCTTACATACATATTTTCTAATTTTTTATTAAAAAAATGCGTAACTCGATTACTCCAACATACTGTCGAGAATAATAAAATCGATTAATCGCGAGACAAACGACAATTTTATGATCATCAACTATTTGATTAAAAATCAAACAATTAATTATGAAATTAAGATTCATCTTAGAAACAATTAATCATTAAAAGAACAAACGTTATTGGTGTTTCGTTTCGATTAGACAGCAGATCATAAAAAAAGATAATGTTAATTCTATTTTAAGTGTATATATGAAAATCTGTAAACTAATTGTAAGTGTGTAAGGAATAAATAAACTGCATCGATCCTGATATTACGATCTGTCGTCACATGTTCAAATAAAAAATCAATTATACCTTTCGATCTAAACAAATCAATGATTATCTTTTTTATTTTGTTGTTTATCTAATCTTTTATTTACTCATGTATAAATATATATTTTTGGAACGTAAAATAAAACAAATTATTATGAAAATTTCGAATGTCTGGTAAGAAGCATTTGTTCTTTTTATTTTATAAATTACAGTTTTGGAATTAGAAAGAAAGATGATCGATCGAATTGTCTAACAATTTACATTAGAAAAATAAAATATAAAATAAAAGAAAAAGCGAGAAAATGAGAGTGAGAGTGAGACATGGATAGGGGTAAAAAAAAGAGGATTAAATACATACCGGCTATTACCGTATCCTGTAGATTATACTTGACAGCGCCAGGTTTGCCGACTTTCGGAAAATCCTTGAGTTTCCTTCCGCTTAACTTCAACTCGCCACTAAGATGAGCCTCCTCCAGGATCCGTTCGAGGCTCCTGGTGAGCTGCTTTTGTATGTGGCCGCTCATGTTTGACGCGACCATCGCCATGTTACATTTTTTGGACACACACGCGAAAGCACGAGTTGCAATAGAGAAAAAGAAGAAAAGAAAAGAAACAGAATAAGAGGACTTCCCTGATTTAACCACCCCACAACGCGACAAAGACGACAAAGGACACGGACACGTCCTCGACGAAAGAGAAAAAAGGGGAGTTAGATTGAAACGCGCACGACTCACCCTTCTCCCTTGCTTGCCACTGCACGACTGATTCGAGATACGATTAATGTATCGCTTCGCGCTTTTCGATTGTAGCGCCTTCTACTCCAACTAAGTTCAAGATGGCGCCACTACGAATTCAGCGGTTCTTTTGAAATACTTTTCTCTTCTTCTATTACATATTTCGATTGTTTTTTTACATTGCTTCGTAGAATTTATTTTACAAATTACATAACATTTGTTATTATATTTGTACAATAATATCTATGATGGAACTATTTATATCATGATCGATATATTTCGAATAATGTCAGTCAGTTTTATAAATTATATTGTTAGTTCATTTTTTTTATTTCGTAATAATTAACTATATATCACATATACATGTATATATTATATATTTATTATAATATATAAATATACATGTTACGTTCAATTATTATTATATCCTAATGTGTGTGTAATTTTTTGTCATCTAATTTTGTTTTTGATGCCTTTCTAATTCTAATGATTGTTGATGTTCAGTAATTAATTGTTGCTGTAAATCTGATGAACATGGACTGTATCTTGAATATTCCATACTAAATTCACCTTTGCCTTCAGTAGAACTTCGTAATTCTTTTATGTAACCGAACATATCGTTGAGTGGTATTTCTGCATTAATAGTAAACCATCCTTCATTAACGTCTGTATTTATTATAATACCTCGCTTTTTATTAACTTGTCCTATTATTGTACCCTAAAAACAGAAAAAAATATAAGCATTTACAATCAATAGAATTTGATTATAATCTCTAATTATTAGATATATTTTACCTGGAATTCTTCGGGTGCTACTATTTCTACTAACATGATAGGTTCTAAAATATACCATAAACCTTGTGTAAACGCATCTCTCATAGCTCCTTGAGCTGCTAGATTGAAAGCATAATCAGAAGAATCGACGCAATGCTGCATACCATCAAGCAATCTAAATTTCAAACCAGCCAATTTATGTCCACTAAGATATCCTTTTTGACACATTATTCTAAAACCTTTTTCAACACCAGGTATATACTGCTTGGAAATATTCATTCCAACGGTTTCATCCGAAAATATGAGTTCAGTATTATGTTCAGGAGGCAATGGCTAAAAAATAATTTTTATTTCAAATCATAATCCTATGATATACAAAATACCTACATACTGTAGGAACGCGAAATACTATTATATTATTTATTATATATTATTTACCTCCAAAATACCAATAACGCGCCCATATTGGCCTTGTCCACCTGATTGCTTCTTATGAAGGTAATCAAAGTTAAATGGCGTTTTTAATGTTTCACGGAACGCAACTTTAGGTTTTCCAAGTAAAACTTGACAATTATATTCACGTTCTAATCTTTGAGAATAGATTTCTAAATGAAGTTCACCCATTCCAGAAACTATATTTTCCTATAAAGATTTTCTTATATTATTACACTTGATATTACATGCATACCAATGAAAAATCTTAATATTTGCTATATAATTTACCTTACTATCCGCATCATAGTAAAAGTGGAATGTCGGATCTTCCTTCGTAAATCTTGCTATACCTTTTGAAAATTTATCACGATCTTTGTTATTTTTTACTTGAATTGACATAGACACAACAGGGTCAGCTACATGAATTGATTCTAAAGATAATTGTAACTTTGGATTGATAGTGAAGGAATCACCAGATGCACAATCTACGCCAAATAATGCAAAAATATCTCCGGCATAAATTGTATCGACGTCTTCCATTTGGTTCGAATGAAGACGAACCAATTTGGCTACACGCACCTAAGAATTTATTTAAATTTTAATATATATAATTCAAAGTATATACATATATTTTCATAAAATACTTCATATATTGCAAACCTTTTTCTTTGTTCTGCTATTATAAATAATATCTGTTTTCTTTAACATTCCTTGATAACATCGAAAATATGTTAATTGACCAAATTTTCCAATTTCTAATTTAAAAGCTAAACCAACAAAGGGGTACTTATTGGAGCGCGTTGGATTTAATACAATTTTCTTACTTTCATCCCTGCAAATATAAAAAAGTTATTTTATAAATTATTATAAATATAAATAATTTATTAATTTTGTTTTGATTATTCTGTATAAATAAATGTTACCCAGAACTCTCATCAAAAGCCAAATTTTCAACTTCTCCTGGATTAGGTAAATAATCAAGAACCGCGTCTAATAATGGCTGGACTCCCTTATTTTTTAAAGCAGTTCCAACAAGAATAGGTGTAAATTTTCTTTTTAAACAGGATCTTCTTATCGCATCTTTTAAATCTTTTTCTGTTGGTTTTATTTCATTTAAGAATAATTCACCAAGATTATCATCAACATTGCTCAAATGTTCTATTAATTCTGCTCTTCTATCATCTGCCTCTGTAAATTCATTACAAGCAATTCTATTAATATTTATTAATAATATTAATTGATTTGTTACATACCAACTTTCATATCCTTTGGAATATCATCTTCCCTCACAATTTCTCCAAAATTGCCTTCGAAATATAACGCCTTTTGAGAAACTAAATCTATTATTCCTTTACAATTGCTTTCTAAACCAATAGGTAATTGAATAAAAGCTGTGTTATGTCTCAGTTTAGTTCTCATTTGTTCCAATACTCTTACCGGATTAGCACCCATTCTGTCTAATTTATTTATAAATGCTAAGCAAGGTACATTATACCTATGCATTTGACGATTAACAGTAAGAGTTTGTGACTGAACACCACCTACGGCACATAAAACCAATATTGCGCCATCCAAAACACGTAAAGCTCTTTCCACTTCTACGGTAAAGTCTACATGCCCAGGTGTATCAATTATATTGATATTATGATCCTTCCATAATGTATATGTCGCAGCAGATTGAATTGTTATGCCTCTTTGTCTTTCTAATTCCATACTATCCATTGTAGCACCGACATTATCTCTACCCCTTACCTATGTAACAATAATTTAATATAATATATACAATCAAAAACTATACAAAATTTAATAATTATATATCTTACTTCATGCATTTCTTCTATGCGTCCAGTATAATACAATATACGTTCTGTTAATGTTGTTTTACCAGAATCAATGTGAGCAGATATTCCAATATTCCTAATTTTTTCAATAGGTTTATGCTCAGCAAATTTTGCATGAGATGCCCAAAATCTAACATTTTTCTGTAAATTTAATACCGGTTAAATTTTATCTAATTATTTTAAGATTATATTTTCAATTATAGAAGGTTAGAATTGTTACCTTGTAAATACAAGTGTTTAATTGTGACAATCGATTTAAATTAAAAGGTCGACTAAAAATTGATATTATCGTCATGATTTATTAATTATTTTTTTACACAATTACACTCTAAGTTTTTTATTTATTAATATTTAAGCATTATTATAAAACAAACATAGAATGAAAGGATTCATGGACCGACCTTAAAAAGAACGCCATCTAGTAGTATATTTGTAACCATTAGTTTGTTTTAATTTGTGATCATAACAACCGTGCATCTTATCGATAATATGTAATTAACAACATATTAATTAAAATTAAAAATGCATTTTCAATGTGATTTAAACAATTTACTTATAACTATAATTATTTATTAGATATTATTTCGTATGTTGTTAATTCAGTGACAATTAATTTTGTTACCTGTCAAATATTGCTATAACCTAAAAATTAGATACAATTATATTTTACACATTTATTAACAGAAGAGTGTAAGTACGTGTAAGTAATAAAGTAAAGAAAAGTGTAGAAGAATTATTTAAAATCGCAATGCCATTACCCGCTGCCTTGGTTGCACGTCTCGCAAAACGTGGACTTATATCAGGTTCAGAAAAACATGGTATGATATTAACTCAAAATAATTATTTACAATTGATATTCATAGTCAAATATAAATTTCATTATTAAAAATATAATTTTCTTAGGTTCTCCTTCATTTTTTACTTGTATTATCTTTTTATTATTATATTTATAGATTCAGCAAAAAAAGAAGCAAAAAAGAGAGTGCACGAGGAAGTAATTGCTGAAGATTACGATAATGCAAAGGATGAAATTAGTGAAATCGATATATCACAGAAATTTATGGTAATCTTGATATTAAAATGAAAAATTTAAGTTTATTCAAAACGAAATCATCAACAATATTTTTCTTACAGGGTTACAGTGGCTGCCCTAATAAATATAATATTTATCATGAATGTACAAAAAAGTGTAAAGAGTTTTGGGGACTTGGTCAAATCCAACCATCAGAAATATACCTAAAACGTCAAATGAAATTAATACAGAGGTATCCTTTACCGGAAACATGGAAAGCAGTATACGACTCAGGATCGTAAGTAAACTACTATCTTTCTAGACATACATCACAAATATGTATATTACAGGTAATTTATTTATGCTATATTTTGTTAACATAAAAATATAGAGGCCAGCATTATTACTGGGATTGGTCATCGGACTTAGTAGCTTGGTTACCACCAGGTCATCCTAAATGTCAGATATCTCAACCGGCATCTCAGTTGCGTGAAGAATTACATCTCAAAGCAGCTGATCAAGATGATAATCTGTCCAGTGATGAAAGCGGAAGTGAACAAGAACCTACAGAAGTAAATAGTTGTTGTTTTTACTTTTATATCTTAATATTTTACACAGTATTATATATTTGGATATATTCTATGTACAGATAGATGAAACTGAACCAAAAAGAGAACGTAAAGTAGAAACTAAAGTTAAATATAAAGGTGCAGATAATAAAAGGCATCAAAGATTGGATAAACCCGAAAATAAAGACAAAAAAGATCGTACTTTGGATCCTATGGATCCAGCATCTTACAGCGACATTCCAAGGTATAAAAAAAAACGTATTTTCTTATACATTCATAGTATTTTTTATTTCTTATAATAAATTATGGTTTTTGTTTAAATATTCTGTAGAGGAAAATGGTCAGATGGATTAGCTAGACATAACGAAGCTAAAACAGGTGCTGATACTACAGCATCAGGGCCACTTTATCAAATGAGACCATATCCAAGTCCTGGCGCTGTTCTTAGATCAAATAGAGCAACTAAACCAGAATCTGAAAATAATGGTAAACCAAAAGTATCGTTCCCTGAAAAACCAGAGTAAAAAGATATAAAAATGTTACTGGACTGTCATCAATGTTCATTCGATTCAAATAAATTATTTTTTAAATTATATGTATATTACATATTCCAATTTAAAGAAAAATATTATTTAACATATTGAAAATAATTATATTATATGATTAGAAATTGTAGTTTTAATTACAATTACAAAATTTGAAAATTAAAAATTTTAGTACATAACCTTATTCAAATACTAGAACTTTTAATTGAAAATAAAAAACGCAAATATAAGAAGAAAAAGAAAGAAAATAATCAATAAAAATATTCCTTCCTAACCGGAAGTAATCGATTAAAAAGGAAGTAAAAGAGCAAAAACATTTTTTCTGAATTTAATATTATTTTGCAGTATTGCCAATAGAATTAATACACTGTGGAGAGGTTAAAGGTGATCTTGGCCTAGTTTATTGAGAACATGCGGGAGAGCGTGCTCGATATTCGAAAGAGGGGCAGTTTTGCACGCAATAAAAGGGTTGCAATGTGATAATATAATATATTAAAGATTTTTTCGTGTGAATTAAATTATAGAAATAGTGTTCAAAAGAAGAATTCAAAGAAAGAGAGAAAATACGGTAATTTATTTTGACTGATGAATAAGATTTAAAGATTAAAAGATAATAAGAAAGAAATAAATTTATCGAGTTCTTGGTTGAGATAATGCGCAGAAAAGAAATCCGAACAAATCAACCGAGAACCCAGAGAAAGTTTATATATATATATATATATATGTGTGTATTGTATGTGTGTCGCGTGTGTATAAATGCATGTTAGGTGAGTGTGTGTATGCTGTTTGCACTTGGATATTATCAGGGTGCATCGTGAGCGTTTCTACAAACGTCGGTGATTGGTGTTAATTGTTTGGTAGAACAAAGTGAATTGAATTTATTTGCAAGGCAACGAATCGAAAATAGTAACTGAGTAGACGAAAGTGGAATTTTCCGAGTGTAAGAAAATGGGAAAAAAATAGAAAGAAAAAATCCGATAATGGTCAATATTTGTTTAATACCTTAAATGTACGCGTAATACACGCGAAGAATCTTATCTACTCGATCAAAACGTGTGTGCATTTGCATCTTCATTTTTATTATACTTTACATATTTGATGCGTTTTTTTGCAATTACAAGAATTTAATTTAAATAAATGATTTTTTTCAATCGATAAGTTCGATTTTTGTCAAAAAAGAAATATAAAAGAACGTTTGTCAAATCATGTGAAATCCTGTGAATTAATGCGAAATGGAAAGGTTAGCTCGTTAGAGGCACATGACGAACAGGTATGACAGGTTTTACTTTCCCGCCGTTTCATTTCAAATTTGGATGATATCATTCGTAATATATGTTTGTATTTATTGTATTTTAAATCTGACATTGCTTTGCCAATTTAACAAATAACGTGAATAAAAATATACATATTCATACATTTTACAACATGAAATATGTCTTTTGGAAAATTACATTTGATTGTGTAACATTTAATTTCGGTCAAACAGTGTCAAAACAATGTATTCTATACAGGAGAATAAGACTAACAATAGATTACTTAAAACTTTATTCAAAATTTATAATACAAATTGTAAATGATTCTTGTATTAGGTAACATGGTATAGATATCTTTCATACACTTACAATGTTCTTTAAATAGTATCTCGACATATCTGCAAATAATATAAAGTCCTCCAATTACTTTGCCTTGCAAACAAATTTCAGACATTTTGTATACATTTTTACTGTTAGTAAATGATTAATGTGACTTGTGACTTATAATTACTTAAGATGCTAATTTCTTTTTCTTTTTTCCAGCCTTCATGTCAATTGGAATTTAAGTGCAGATTGATTATTATATTGTACCATATCATAGTATAAAATCATGTGATTCTCATGACTTCTTTGAGAAAATATCCACATTTATCGTGGATGTTCAAAGCGTTATGTTCGCATAGGATTGATAGATAAGAATATATCTAGTCGAATGGTAAGAACTATCAACGGATACTTACATATACAGTTATATATAATATATAATATATAATATATAATATATAATATATATATATATATATATATATATATA